AATTTTAAGGAGATTCCAAGTGGTACTGGGGGACAATGCCTCAAAAAGGGCTACACAGAGGCCACTGTGAGGACATGGCTATTTTGAAGGTGCAGTACATTAGCCATACCTGGCAGATCCCCTTTTCATTGCCTTCTCAACCTGGGTGTGTATGTGGGTTTTCTGGCTTGTGCCTCTCTGGGGAGAAGTGGAAGATACTTATTTCAGTAGTGTCTTGCGTGCATCATTTATATGCTGAACACACGCCATGTGCTTTCTACAGTATTTTTCAAGCAGGCACTGTCGTTCTGGAGGCCGTCAGCAAGCAGCCTCTGGTTACAGAGCTCTGCAGGTACTGCAAAAGGTCTTACTGCCTACTTAATACAGGGCAGGGGCTTGGTCTCTTGCCACCACAAAGGCCACACTTATAAATCAACAGTAAGTGCTAGGAGTAAAGCAGAAGAAAACATCAGTGACTTGCAAACTGTTCCTTCTTTAGTCCCAAAGTGTATTTTTTGCCCTTTGGGGCGAGGTGGGTGGATAGGGAGCTTTACCTCATTTGCTTTCTTGAAACCTCTTAGAAGTACAAGTGAGGCGGCTGCATGATTTGTGTATGCATGCAGAAGAGGGCCATCTGAATTGTAAATAGCACCTGCTAAATTATTATTAAGTGAAAGCTGACGTGGGAGGAGTTCTCAGGAAAAAAAACCCTCAAGTCTTTTAATAAAAGTTGTTCCAGATGTTTTAACATTATCCCCTGGCTGCATGCTACATACTTCAGCTCATGTCAATGCTACAGGGAGTTACCGTGAGTCGTATCAAGGACAGGGAAGGCCCCATTAAATCCAGTTACTGTCAGTTGTGTGAGAGCTTTAAATGGCTGCACTAAAACTCATTATTAAAGAAAGGAACCATCAATTTTATTTAATGTATGGTGCCCAGCCTTGATTCTGCTCCCAGCCCAGAAACTCACCATGCTCGGGGTGATATAAAACTTAGACTTGCACTCATCAGGATGAGCATTTAACTGTTGTAGAGTCCTGGCTGCATCCTGGCTGGCTAACTGAGGCTGTGGGGGCTGCCCTGCACCCCTGCCAAGGCAGGCACCAAGCTCAGCCGGTATTGCCGCTTGCCTTAGTCCAGCCAAAGCTTTTGCTGGTGTAGGTGAGGCTGCTGAGCCGGGCTTCAGGTGAGCAGGAGTGCTCGGTGAGCAAAGCTGCTCGACCTGAGTGTCCTTACCCTCTCTGCTCCTGGTGGAGAGCAGAAAGAGGAGGAGCTGGGTGCCAGCCTTGGGCCCTTCCATGCAGAAAGCGGAAAGGTGACTGCTAGGATCTTCCTGCAAGCGAAGGGAGGTGACATGAAAGGCACAGTCTTGCACAGGAGGTTTCTTGTCAGACCTGGGAGTGGGGGTTTAAGAGAACTTTTCCAAAGTGAAACATTACATTTTCCATCCCTCCATGGCTTGTGGCCCCTCTTGTCTTTCCAAGACCCCAGGAGTGAGGACGCTCTCTGAGGGCATCCCCACTGTCTCTGAAGCATCAGTGTCATTGGGCTTGGCTGGCATGGGTCACCCCATTACTACTGGCATGCTGCCTCATGGACACGGTGGCAAGCTGTTGTCAGCCTATGTAATCAAAAGGCTGAAGTTGTAAATCATATTACAGGCTGTAATGAGGAATTTGATCCCTGTAACAAACCATCCAACTTTTATTCACATTTATTACTATTTCTGCTATTGCCATGGAGCAAAGATCCTTTTGGAAAAAAAGAACATGCCACCAGCACAGTTTGATTGTGTCCTTAGGAAATTTAGGGTTGTGTTTTTCTCGCATTAACTGCACAGGCAAATTTGCAATAAAAATTACTTGGCTGCAGAGGCCTTTTTTCCCGTCACTGAGCTGTCAATCAGCCTGTAATTTCTTAGTATCGGACTATGCTGAAGGACTCGCTGAATTGTTCTCCCCTAAAACCTCAAACATGAGAAAATCATTTTGAATGGAAGGAAGAAGATTTCATAGTTCTTTTTTTAGGGGAAAAAAATACCTCTCCTGTGATGGGAAATAACCTCTGAGGAGAGTGGAAGTGGCAGCAAGAGTCTGAAGTCCTCCCTTTATCCGCAAGAAAGCACTACTTCCTCCACACACTCCGTTTTTGGGGTACCAGTGTGGGTCAGTGATTTTATCCCCTATTCCTGTTCCCCTGCTGAGGCTGCCAGCAGTGTTTCAGAGACAGCAAGGGGCTGGTTGTTGATGTGGAAACCAGTCCCTAACAACAACTCGTTTCACCAATGGGCACAGGCAGCCATCTGACATTGACAGTGTTGAGTGACTGCTGACCTTGTTTTTAGCGTCAGCTGATGTCAACTGGAGTACTGCCAGTTTGCACCAGTTGAAAGTCTGTCCCTTAATGGTGGCGATTATCCTGATTTTTACATTGGCACTGAGAAAGTTGCAGCTGCTGCACTTCACATCCTTGACTTTAATTTGGGGTGCCTTGGTCGTTTCGTGTTGTCTTTAGAGGAGTGTGTGAGAAGAACATCTCGTCTTGTTCTGCGTCAGTCAGTTTTTCCCTTTTTATTTTGTACGAAGAGAGATTGCTCAAGCACACCATGGAATGAAAGCCATAAAGCTATAAATTACACCTCTGCTAGGTCCACAATATGTTACCAATTACATCTGTTACATTATTCGCGTCCAGGGGGAAAACATACATCAAACCAACCCCACTCTCTCCAGGCAGGTTGGTACTGTACTAGAAGGAACACTGTGACTCCTCTTAATCAGTGGAAGAACAAACACAGTTTTGGCTCACTCACATACGATCCTTGTGTCCAGGATGACAAGTTGAGTAATACTGCTGCGGTTCTCCGAGCTCACCACATGCCACACGCTACAGCATTCGTGGCAGCACTGCCCTGTGGAAAGGAGAGAGGAGAGCAAGTACTTAGAGGGGCAGGGAGCTGGAGGGGGTCTGAGTACCCGGTTGCAGAGACCTTGGAAATTGCTGCCAAGGAGGTTGAGAGGCAGGGGGGAGTGGAGTTAAAAGGAATGACAGCAAACAGCGTCAGAAATCCCCTCAGAGCTAGGGAGCACATCTGCAGAGGGGAGCACACTGTGGTTTGCAGGGCTTCATTGTCAGAGCAGGGTCAGTGGGGTTTTGTGCGGCGTGTTCAAGCAGGGGTGAGGGTTGGTTTCCCCATGTGTTCCAATGGGGGTTTTCTTCTGCGTCTGCCTTGTCCTCATAAATGTGTCACTGTGGCAGGGCTGAAGGTGGGAGTGTTGAAGCAAACTGGAGCGATTGCTTTGCTGGTTACTTCTTAGTAGCTATGTATGGTGGTTTTGGCTTGCCACAGCACCCCTCTCCTGAGTAGTTCCTGGGCTTTGGGCAGCTGGGAATTAACTAGAAAATGGGCACTGGATGTGTTTAGGTCTGTTTGCTTCACAATGCTACTGAATTTTGTGAGTGTAGAGTAACCTTCATATTTTTCTATGTGAGTGTGTAAGTTCATGCATGTGTGTGAGCCTATATGAGCTCCAGAAAATGGTCTGGAGGAGAGCTGAGTGTCAGATACTGTCAGTCCTCCAAAGGAAGAAGTCATCCATGTGCATTGCGGATTTTGTTGTGGTTTTGTTATTGAAGTATTTATTCAGCTTTTAACTTTTTAAAGTTGAAAACAAGTCAAGGTTATGTTTGTGCTTAATAATTCAGCAATGGTGCCAGCTCAGCACATTGTCTTTTCCTTCCCTAGTCATTCTGGTTTATTAAAAAGAAACACTGACGACAGATAGAAAGGTGAAGGAGGCTGTGCCTTTCTGCTCTAACTCTTGTCAGGTGCTCACTCCTTCCCTAAGAATCCCCATGGATTTGTGTTCTTCACAGTACCTTTGCCCCAGTGGTACTATCCGTACCCTGGGCAGGGAAAGCTGGCAGCAAGTAAGGACTTAGATGTCCCCTTTTCTGTGGACCACATCTTTTTTTCTGAATAGACACATTTTCTGTGACAGTGGAATATTACTCAGAGTCCTTCAGTAAGTCTGTCTCAGTGATACTGTATTTTCGCCTCGATTATGAAGTTTGTGGGGTTGTTCTTTGGTGTTTAGTTTTTTTAAATAAAGATTTAGAAGATCATTAACTCTCCTGGAGCCAAAGAAGCTTGCATTAAAATAGGGTTTTGTCTTTTCTTTAAAAGTAAAGTTATATTAAGAGCTAATTCTGCCACATGCTAATATGTACGTTGCTTCATTAACAATGCTGTTAAATTGCAGGGGATCAGTTTTCCAGTGATGGTGTTGTCACTGTGAATAAGAATAGGTGAACACAATTTTATAAATCTGGGAGAACTGAGCACACAGTAAAGCTCATGTTGTGTAACTCCTATCTCCACTGTCCCTGAGCACAGACCAGCATTGTGCACGATTCCCACACGCAGACTTGGCAAGCAATCTGAAACATCCTCTTCTTCTGCCCCGGCTCCTCAACTTTGTCTGTGCACCTCCATTTTGTCACAGTGTATCATCTCCTGGTCCCATCTTGACTCTCTGCAGGCCAGAAGCTACACAGTGGTTTTATGGCTTAAGTCAGATCCACCAAAGGGCTTAATACAGGATGAGCCTGAGGATTTGAAATTTGGCTTCTGTAGTCAGAATACTTTGCAGTATTTGACATGAGTTCTTCCAGAGAGCTAGATATATTCCTGGAGACAATGGGAATAGGAGTCTCTTTAGACAGAGGAGGTAAAAATAACATGTACATTCCTGTTATTAAAAATGAGAAGGGGGAGAGCAAGAGAGCAGAAATCTTGAATGTTGTTAGTATAGTTCAATCAGAGGTAGTGATTTATTTAGAGCACAGTATTTAATTTCTGTTGAATACATATTTCTGGAAGAATGTGATTTTTGCATGTGTGTGTCTGTGCTGTGTCTGAAGCCTGTGTCCCATTTCCCTTTCCTGCCACTGAGCAAATGAAAAAAGCTGGGGATGGCATCCTGACACTGTGGTTTCACTCTGATGTTGTATTGCAGGTATGGCCTCGCATGTGCAAGTTTTCTCTCCTCATACCCTTCAGTCAAGTGCCTTCTGTAGCGTGAAGAAACTGAAAGTGGAGCCGAGTTCAAACTGGGATATGACTGGGTACGGCACACACAGCAAAGTCTACAGCCAGAGCAAGAACGTGCAGTCCTCCCAAGCAGCCGCCGCAGCAGCCGTCAACGCCTCCCTCCAGATCCCCAATCCGAGCATCCCCTACGAACAGACCATCATCTTCCCAGCAAGCACGGGGCACATCGTGGTGACATCTGCCAACAGCACTTCTGGTGTGGTTGCAGTGTCTGGGCAAACACTGGGCGGGCCACACAACCTGATGCGTCGCAGCACTGTGAGCCTTCTGGACACCTACCAAAAATGTGGACTTAAGCGCAAGAGTGAGGAGATTGAGAACACAAGCAGCGTGCAGATTATCGAGGAGCATCCACCAATGATTCAGAACAATGCCAGTGGGGCCACTGTAGCCACCGCCACCACTTCCACAGCCACCTCCAAAAACAGTGGCTCCAACAGCGAAGGGGATTACCAGCTGGTGCAACATGAGGTGCTCTGTTCCATGACCAACACGTACGAAGTGTTAGAGTTTCTTGGCCGTGGAACCTTCGGACAAGTAGTCAAATGCTGGAAACGTGGCACTAATGAGATTGTGGCTATCAAGATCCTAAAAAACCACCCTTCCTATGCCCGGCAAGGCCAGATTGAAGTGAGCATCCTGGCTCGGCTGAGCACGGAAAGTGCGGATGACTACAACTTTGTCCGTGCTTACGAGTGCTTCCAGCACAAGAATCACACATGCTTGGTCTTTGAAATGTTGGAGCAGAACCTCTATGATTTCCTAAAACAAAATAAATTCAGTCCCTTGCCCCTTAAGTACATTCGACCAATTCTCCAGCAGGTAGCAACTGCCCTAATGAAGCTGAAAAGCCTGGGACTGATTCATGCTGATCTCAAACCAGAGAACATCATGTTGGTAGACCCATCCCGACAGCCATATAGGGTCAAGGTCATAGACTTTGGTTCAGCTAGCCATGTATCTAAAGCTGTGTGTTCTACCTACCTTCAATCCAGATATTACAGGTAAGAGACTGGGCTCATGTAACATAACTAGATGTATTTTACCTGTGGGAATTTTGCTACATTCAGGTAAATGAATGAAAGTCATCCCTTAATCCTAAACCCGTCCTAAAGATGGGTCTTAGAATGGCTTGCTGGTGATAGGAAAAAATGGTGTCCTAACCCCTTGGAGTTTACTTGCATTGAAAACCATTGTAAATTTGTAAATAGTTAAAAAGTGTTGTAAAAATAGAGTTTTCCAGTTCCAATTTGGAAAGCCTTTCACCTCTCTTCTCTTTGGGAATGTTTCCAGATGAGAGGACGTCTCTGGAGAGTCCACATTTCTATTCCAAGTAAATGCATGTAGGTTCTTGGTGTCAGTATTACTTTAACCTAAACAATCAATCTATATTTCAAATATGTCTTCCAGTCTTTACTCATATGTGAATACAGGGATTTTACAAGAATGAGATTGACCCACAGGAAAACTGTGTGGATGCAGATGATGCTTTGTCAGGGAGTAGTTTTCACACAGGCTGTGCAGTTTGCCAGAGTCAATGGGAGTATTCTGGCTGGCTCCTGTGAACTCTCCTCCCAGCAAGCAGACAGCCTGGCCAGGCTGGAAACACCTATTGCCATGTGGGAAGCTGTTGGTAGAGCTGAATGAGTATTGTCAGTGATTTGGTGTTGGACTGAGGACTGGGTGTGGTCTGTTGATTCCCACTCACAGTGCTTTGTTATGTGCTAGGATGGGGTTCTGATCTCTGTGAAGGCGTGCCTGACATGAAACCTGTGAACCAGCTATATCCCTCTTCATTATGTTGAACAGTTTTAGCAAAGCAGCCTCTTTTCATAACCCCTGGAAGGCCGTCCTCACTCTCCGTCTTGACTCCAAGACACAAAGTCTCTCCGTAGATGTTTTCCTCAGCCCCTCACTTTGGTACCAGTTGGCTTCAGTCAACATCTCAAGGACTGAGAAAAGCAATTCTGCTACATCAGGGGTGGGGGAAAATAGTGGGAGGGGGGAAACAGAATTTATCTTTAGATAATAGCTGAATTTGGAAATGTTCAGACCATGTTTTTGTTGTTGCACTTCTGTGAAACAGGCAAAGCGGGAAAACGCGATCCTTCTTGGTGACTGATTTAATGACAATCAGTCCTGCAGCATCCACAGCTCATCAGATGGGTTACAGAAAACCAGGGTAGTTGCTCTGTTTGTAAATAGGAAAGAAATCTGTCATACATGGATAGGACTGGGACAAAAAGCCAACATGAGTTAATAACAGACCCTTTTCCTACTTTAAACTTCAGGGTGGCAAAGCCTACCTGAACTCTGAGCTCAGAAAGAGTTAATTTTCACAGGAACAGGAACTTTGACAGTGTACCACTGCAGCAGCTGATTTTTATCTGCCTGTCCTTTGCTCTGAAGGAGCAAAAAAATCCTCAACCCTAGTTTATACCTCAGAAGAGGCTTATTAAATGAAATATTCTACCTGATGACAGTCCCATCCTCCAGGAGAGACATGTTTCTGTGGTAAATATGCAAAAGATTTTAGGATTGCAATTACCTGGCAGACTAGAAATAAAACAAAAAAAAAAAAAAAGATAATACAGGCATTTTGTTGTTGAGTTATCTGTGATTCTGCGTTAGCAGCCTAGGTCCCTAGCTGAAAGACAGAAGGGGCAGCCAAAATGAAATATGTGACAGAAAGCAGAAGTGAAAGAGAAAAATGGTTCATTCTCAGCGACAAACAAGGAATATTTTTGTGTCAGTCTCTGGGGAGGAAAAGGCTTGATAAAATTTGCTTTTTGTATTTTAAATGTTATTCCTGCCCAGTCTGAAGTTACAACTTGATAGATAATAAGTTCTGTCTGTCTAATTCCTCCCTTGTTTTCCGTGCCTGAATTGGTGGGAGGAGGGGAAAAAGGGCAGCAGCTCACCAGGAAAAAAAAAAAAGAAAAATCTTGTTGGGTTGAATTACATCAGCAGGGGGCTGCTGATTAAGCTAAATTCAAGTCATGAGGAAAATTTATATTCTTCATTTTCTGATAGGGAAAAATACAGCACAGAGTGAAGACCCCTTCCACTCCAAAGAGAAGGAACTTTAATGCTAGGGGAAACACTGGGCTTTATAAAGATTTCATGTGTCTTCCATTTAATTTACACTTGTTCTGCTTGCTAGAGTATGAAAGACAAGGGGATGACTTCAAGAAATGGCACATTTAAGCTGAATGTGAAGGAAAAGCTTCCTCAGAGTAGTAAAACCTCTCAGAGTCTAAGCAGTCGTGCCAAAGAAGTGACAGAAGCCCTGTGCCTCATGCATTTAAGGAAAGATGAGGCAGAGCACTGGGGAATATAATGTAGAGTTTGAATCTCAGCTGGAGTTTTTTTATCATAGGCTTTTGGGAGCAAATTCCTAAGTTTTCCCCATATTTTATTAACAACTTGCTTTTTCTTTTCTGTATCACTACTTTTGAGACTATGATGGATAAATCCTTTCAAGGGTTGAAAGGTGTTTGGGATCCTGCTCATTTTCAGGGCAATATAAGGCCTTTCGTCTTCTCCCAGAGGTGGGAGACAGAAGTATATTTAAACAAACTGTGTTCTTTCTTGACCTGAATCTGCATAAACTAAGAGAAGCCCCATGGCTGCTTGCAGACTTCACATGAGGGATTTGCCATTGCTGCCACGTAACATGCTCTGAAGATGAATCAGATCCTTCAGCCCATTTCTTGTGGGAGGGATGGATTGGAACTTGGTATTGCACTGCTGGTGCTGCTCGGGGGCCCTCGCTCGGTGCACCAAACTCAGCAATGTTTCTGTCCCACTAGGGATATTTCTAAACAAGTGCTCTCTGGAAGAATGGTGATGGCATTAAGGTGGCAGAGTGGTGTGGAAAGTACCAAAAATGACATCAAAATGTCTTCAGTCTAACAGAATTTAGCTCCCAACCCTCTCAGAGGATATAGCCAGCTCCAGGCTAGATCTGGTGCCATAATTGATACTCTGGAGATCTTTCACTCTTGCTTCTGGGCCCATAGAGGGGCCCAAGGCAAAGCACAACATGACGGCCTAAGGTAGGCCTTGCAGGAACTCCCTCACTGCCAAGAATCCCTCTCTGGGAGGGCAGTGCCATCATGTCACCAGTGGAACCTCAGGCCTCTGATGAAGGGAATGAGCCCCAGCAGGGTCACACCATGGGCCCTGCCCTGACATGACAAAGAACATTACAGCTGCAGTCTGTGGTCATCTGAATGGGTGGTGCTGTGAAGAGGATCATCCTCCTTCTGCCCACCCATCTTCAGCCTGTGGTGCAAAACTCGCTGTGGTGCAGTTTCTCACGTGGCATCCTTAGCCAGTGCCTGTAGGACCTGACTGGTGGCTGTCCAAATGTCCCTTGCTTGGGACAGGGGTCCCAGCCTTCCCCTCAGTCACCATAGTCCTTCGTCTTGTCCCTTATCACCAGCTGCATCAGCCTGGGCCTGATCATTGACCCTTCATGGGGGTACATGGTGATGCAGCCATGGTCTGGAGGTGCCTGTGTGAGGAACTGAAGCTGCCCATGGGAGGCTGCTCTGCCCAGCTCGCGGTGCAGGAGCAGGGCTCTGCAACTGGCAGTTTAACCAGACAATTTCTTAAGCTATAAATGAAGCCCTGTTCACACAGCAACCGATCAAAAGTCTACGACAGCTGCTGTGTCACAGGGTATCTTCCTGGGATTTTATTTTTTTCTTTTCTTTTTCGTGCTGCAGTTTGAAGGGGAGATCACTGAGGTAGTCTCTATGATCTCCATTTTGCAGAGAGTCAGAGAGATGAATGACCAGAGAGATCCCTTCTGGGTTGATAAGCTATGTATGGACAGCTTCCTGGGAAAACCCATATCCTGAGAAATACAGGGCTCAGGCTGCAACAGATGTCCCCTTTGATAGAGCCCCTATTCATGTACCCAGGTGGAAGAGGGGATACTACCCTCTGGGAGGTGGGGGTGGTTGGGGTGGTGGGGAGAGCTGTGGCCCTCCCTTGCTGGAACCAGAGTGGTTCCCTATCATGGGGTGGCAGCGCCAGGATGCTCGGAACAGTTGGGCTGCTCGTGGGGGCACTATCACTATGTTACTTTGCCCTCTTGGCTTTTCTTTGCTGTTCAGCTGAAACAGCTGCTGTGTTGGCACCGCAGGGATGATAACGTTCCGCTAATTAATGGCGTAATCACCTTACGAGATTTAAGTCTTTTAGAATTTGCAAAATATTGCAGATATAAAATAGTGGCTGTCACCTCTGCACTATTAGTGGATAAATGTAGGTTAGGTTCCTTGTTTTCAAAAGGCTTTGGTATGTGGTGTGTCTGGCTCTAGTTGGGATGTCTGCTTTGTAGGTAAGTGGCCTTTGATGAAATGTTTGGATAACAGAGAATGAAGCCGAGTATCAGTTTGAAGAGGTGTTTATCAGTCTAGTTTCAGACTCTGCAAGAAAATATGCAGTCATAAAGGCTACGTGCATGTTTTCAAACGCCCATACAGAGTGAGTAGTGAGGCTGTGTGCAGGTGTGGTTTTTAACTGGCTGTACATGCTTAGCTGGGTGAGTGCAGGTCCTGAGGGTGCAGGGGGCTAAACTGGGTCCATCTTGTCACGCATGGACATTGTGCCATGACAGGTATCAGTCCTCTAGCTGTGCTGACAGGGAGCCAAAGCAGGGTAGATTCCTGAGCAGAGTCACAACCTCTTCCCCATCATGAGACTCACGGTATGTGTTATTCTGGCCAAAACTGCCCTTTAAATGAGGCAGTTATAATGGCACAGGGATAGGCTGTGCTTATTTGTTTACTCAGTGAACTGGCATCTGTTAAGTCCTTGTATAACAGTGTTAGTGCACTTATATTTCAAAATCTTCTGCCATTCTGGACTTGCAAAAACATCTCTATCTCAGACTTGACTGCATTTGCAGCCGTGGGAGTTTCATTGCTCTGCCAGTCTGTTTCAGTCCTACCTGCAACATTCACTGCTTTACTGACTCTGCCTCTCCAAG